TTGGGCTTCCAGATTTAACAAAAATGAATCTTTAAAAACAGAACATTTTAAGGTTGCATGAATTTTCTGGGAATTTTTAATGCGTTGACTTTTAGTAGAATATATAAAGGAATAGATTGGAGATTGCCCTTATTTTTAAGTGGGCACTGACCTAAAGATGTCCCCTGGGGTACGGTGGACTTTCAATTAGTGGGAATCTCTTTTAAGTTTTATCTTTCCAAATTAACTAATTAATATTTATATAATTATTATGTATTAGGACTTAGGAGAATGATTTGATTAAGGTATTTAAGAATATATCTTTTGAGGTTAAATTAAATTAAAATGGAAGAAGAATCATATTCGAAAACTGTGCCACCAGTGTTACTTCCACTAGTTTCTATCCATATGATTATTATAAATTTTTTATGGGAAAATGGCACTTCTTCCCCCTAAGTTATATACTTATAGCACTTTCTCCCCCTGAATTATTCAAGTGGCTGTTTTTCCCCCTGAAATGTTAAATGGACATATTTACCCTTAAAATAAATATTTCATTTATTTTCCTTCTCCAACAAATTATGACAACAATTTGGTTCAAACCAAACAAACACTATAGCAACCAAACCGAAATATTCCAATTACAATTTAGAATCGAAATTTGATATTTAGAGTTTATTAAAATCGCGAACCGGAACGGACGATTCATGTTACGAACTTAAAAAATAAAATACATTTATTGTTAAATTTAGACTATTTTAAAATAAAAAATAAAATTTTAAAATAAAGACGGTTCAAAATCGCGAACCGGATCCAGAACCGCCGATTCACGGTTCAAGATCCAATTTTTTTATTCATAATTTTCATAAATTGAAATCCAAATATTAGGTTCTAGATCTGAATCATAACCGGAAACTTTTAATTCAATTGCTATAGTGTCCGGTTTAGTTTGATCTGAACCGTGGTCATCCCTACGTTACGCGATAATTTGTTAGAGAAGTAAAATAAATAAAATGTTTACTTTAAGGGTAGAAATGTCAATTTAATATATCAAGGAGAAAAACCACCACTTTTAGAATAATTGAGGGGACTAATGTGCTTACCTAAATAATTGAGGGGGAAAAATGACTATAAGTATATAACTCAGGGGGAAAAAGTGCCATTTTCCCATTTTTTATAATAATTAAACAAAAAAATAGTAATTGGGGGCACCGCAGCCGGCCCTCTGCATTTGGGGGCTCGTCGTGTTGGGAGGAACATAACAACCTTGTACTCTGCATCTTTGCTCTCCGGTTTTGATAGATCCGATGACAAATCTTGCCGTTGTGCCATTAAACCTGGGGCTATTTTATGGCATTATTTATTAGTATTCAAATGTTGAAAAAAAAAATAATCAGGACTATTTGGTCCAATGGTATCCGGGTTGGATTTTCATTTAGAAGGTTGTAAGTTCGAGCCTCGGTGAAGGTGTTATTAGCTCTTTGTGTTTTAGTAGGTTTGCTAGTAGCATCGGCGTTATTAGCTGTTACCTGATCTTTTCACTTAATGAACTACTGAATCAATGTCATTTACATTTCTACTATTCTGTCATATCGGGATTTGGTGACTCTATGAGCCATGAAATTTTGCCTTTTATGAGAAAGTAATATTTCATTAGAGATTAAGATTATGTTGATTTTGGAACAACAATAAAGATAATGGGAATCTGCTGTATAGTAGCAATATAATGGACGCGTTTCTATCAGAGTGCAATATGGCAGGTTATTGAAGGAAGTTGATGTTGCTGTCAAATTAACTTTAATTTCTGAACTGGAAATAATCTTGGGTTTGAACTAATGACCTTAGTCAAGACAAAGAAACTTTTTATTTCCTTCAACTAAGAAGTTGGGTTTGAATATAAGTTTTGTGGATCTTACATTACTATTTCACACATTGAAACTAATCATATTTATGCCCAATAAAATTCAAAACTTAAAACATACGTCATCTCTTACATACCTCCATAAATTAAGGCTCTGTTTGGCAACGCTAAGCTAAGAGCTTATAGCTTATTTTAAGCTACTAATAAGCTATAAGCTCTGTTTGGTAATGTTCCTAAAATAAGCTCCTAGCTTAAAATAAGAGCTTATTTTGAAACGCTACTTTAGGTAGCGTTTCAAAATAAGCTACTAGCTTCCTAACTTTTTTTCCATCTTTACCCTTATTATTTTAAAGTAATGACATATTTTAACCTTAGAGTTAATCAACGATTTGGTCCCTCAATTATTGTCAAACTGTGAATGTAGTCCTTTAATTCTTTATTCATCGATTTAGTCCCCGAAAATAATTGTTTTTAGTCGATTTAGTCCCTCCGGTCGTCTTCCGTCAACAAACCGGCGAGAACTCCGATTTAGCAGGGGCATTTTGGTCTTTTCTTGTCTTCAACCCTCTTCTTGGTCCGATCAGATCGCCGGAATCATGGAGAGCGAAAACCGATGGTGTTTCTTCACCGGAAACTCTAGGAATTACTTACGGTGTAAAGATCCAACTAAGAATTAGGAGCGGAAGGATTTACCGGAAAATCAAGCAACAGAGGATCGCCGAGAAGGGAAAGATGAAGAGGAAGATGAAGAGGAAGATGAAGATGGTGAAGAAAAAGGAAGCTGGTGTAATTGCAGTAGTATTTTTTCAATATTCTCTTCACACATTCTGTGTCGTATTTTTCTTCTTTCGTGTATAATTGACATAGTTTTAACAGGTCCTGGACCGTTGTCAGATCATGCTGTTTTCCGATTCTGAGCTCCAATCCATCCTTGCATTCGACGCTAGCACCCAACGCTATCGCAGATTGCAGCATTTCAAACAGCGATCTGCAAGAAATCAGCCCTTTCTCATCAGTTAACAGTCTCCGAATCGCTTCAATCACTTCTCTCTCGAAGCTCTTTTTGTACATTGTTGAGTTGTTAATTTTATCTCCTCGTTTTCCATCTGAAAAAATCCAGTTTGTAACGTACTGACAGAGCGATGCAGCCACGTATTCCGGTGGAACTTAGCGGTGAATCATTGCAGAAATAATGGGTTCATAAAGCCTGATAGCTAGCACTGTCAAGTCCTCGGATTTCCATTCAATATCAAACAGCTTCCTCCTCGCACTCGGCTTAACCCCATTTTCTTCTCCACCGCAACCATCTATCACGACCGGTTCGCCAAGAAGGCGGGGATCGTCAAGTGCTTGAGCGACGAGGGACTCTGCACAACCATCAACCAGCCCAATCTCAATAGTTTTATTCATCTTCATCTTCATCTTCATCTTTCCCTTCTCGTCGATCCTCTGTTGCTTGATTTTCCGGTGAATCCTTCCACTCCTAATTGTTAGTTGGATCTTTACACTGTAAGTAATTCCTAGAGTTTCCGGCGAAGAAACACCATCGGTTTTCGCTCTCCATGATTCCGGCGATCTTATCGGACCAAGAAGAGGGTTGAAGACAAGAAAGACCAAAATGCCCCTGCTAAATCGGAGTTCTCGCCGGTTTGTTGACGGAAGACGACCGAAGGGACTAAATCGACTAAAAACAATTATTTTCGGGGACTAAATTGATGATTAAGGAATTAAAGGACTACATTCACAGTTTGGCAATAATTGAGGGACCAAATTGTTGATTAACTCTTTAACCTTATGAATTAAAACCCTTTCTCTTCCCCTATCCCAACTTTCACGTCAATCCCTTCCTTAGTTTTGTTTCCTGCTAAACAATTATGTTGAAACTTTAGCTTATTATTATTATTATTATTATTATTATTATTATTATTATTATTATTATTATTATTAATGTTATTTTAAAATTAGCAATATGGCTTCAATCTCAAATTGAACAAGAGCCGCCAACTAATGCTCAAGAAGCATTCAATCGTGCACATTCTTCTCTTCGAAGTTGTATTGAGAGGTCGTTTGGAGTATTGAATAAGAGATGGAAGATACTTGTTAAAATGCCGCAGTTTAGTGAGGAGACCCAAATTGATGTTATTATGGCCACATTTACACTACATAATTATATTCGGAAGAATTCACAAGATGACATGATGTTTAATGTGCTTGAGCAGCATCCAGATTACATACCGCCCGATGAACTTCAAGATTCAAGTAGTAATATCTCCATCAACGAAAATTTAAGTCACACCTCTATGGAGATGAAGGAGATTCGCAACAATATTGCTACTTCATTATGGGATGCTAGATCATGATCATGCTAATAGTTTTATTTTAAAAAGTGTTTACTTTTTTTGGAAGACGAAATGTTAAATTTTAATATGTAAACAAACTAATTTAAATTTTATGAAGATGTCCTTTTTAGTCTTTTTACACTTATCAGCTTATCAAAAAGCTAATTTTACCAAACACTTTCAATCATAACAGCTCTTCAATTTTCAACTCCGAGCTTATAGCTTTTCAGCTCCTTTTCAGCTATCAGCTCCTAGCTTATAGCTTTTCAGCTAGGTTTGCCAAACAGAGCCTAAGTGGTGTCTTTTTTAGGAAATGACTAAAATAGAGTGGGCATTAGTTAGGAATGCACTATTGGTACGCTCTTGATACTCGACAAAGAACAACATGGAGATAAATCAGTCTAAGTTGCTCATAATAACAGACCACTTCAAATCGAGGAGGTCAATAAGCACCACCCACAAAGAGTCGAATTTGAAACATTGTACTTACTAAATCAATACCTTACTAACTCAATTAGGATTACTCCGTACTGGAGTAAGAATATTGTCCCTACAAGTGTATAACACAAGACTTTATTTTTAACATATGATAAGTATCTACGTAGATTCTACTAAGCCAACTCACCTTGCTGATGGTAGCATTACTGGCATTTGCCCACTCAAATTCAACCCCTAAAATAATACTAATAATAATATATATACTTGAACTAATTCATACTAATTGATAAAATAATATAATAAATGTTTGGTCTTTGTTTGAGGCATTTGGTTTTGGAATTCAAGAATATTATAGGTCTGAAAATTAGAATTTTGCATGACAATTGATTCAACAAAGCAGCCATATATGTATACATTGAATTCCTTTTCTTTGTACATTGTAGATACCATTGAAGAGTATAATACAAAACAGACAAATTGATTGATGCAATGTTACTTCCTTTCTCCTTCCATGTTACAATAGTGGCAAATTTGAATTTCCCAACATGCATTTCTTACATGCACTACAAATCCAAGTCAAGTTACCCCTCCACCTATACACCTTTTTGACTGACGATGAAACACGTCGTCACTACTCTAAAGTGTACACGTGATAAATCTCACATATACACCTGTTTTTTTATAAAGCATGCAATAAAGAAAAAAAAAATTATTTTCTTAGCTAATGTTTAACATAGACCATTATGTCTATGATGGACTAGTGCCTATGAAAAATTTTAAAAATAGATATAAATATATAGTTTTTGTGTCAACACAAAGAATCTTGATTATTTTTTGGTTTGATGAGAGTTTCGGAATGGTCAGCTCCGGTGAGTTTTTCGGCTCTCTGGGCTTCCACTTCCCAATCCGTTTGGAGGAGAACTATAAGCATGGTGACCATACAGGACGCCTGCGCCGCAAAAAGTCCCATCCAGAGACCCTTGAAGTCGAAGCCGCCGAAGAAGCTGAGCCCGACGGCGACCGGCATTCCGACGAGGTAGAAGCAGCCGAGGTTGATATTGGCGCCGGTTTTAGGCCTCGCCGTCCCGCGTAGCACGCCGCAGCCGGTGGTTTGCGGGCAGTTCCCGATCTCGCAGAGGCCAATAATGGGGAGAACCATAGAGGTCAATGCGATAATCTCGTTGTCGAGGGTGAACATCCTGGCCCAAACGTTCCTGACGGAGATGGCGAAGATCAGAGCAGTGAACCCCAGAATGAAACTTCCGGCGAGGCCGACAATGGTGGCGCGTTTCGCGTTTCCGGGCTCCCGCGCCCCCAGCTCGTTGCCCACTCTCGTGGAGACGCTGAAGCTGAGAGATGACGGGAAAATGTAGATCAAAGAAGTGGTCTGAATCAGAATCCCCATTGACGCCACGGTGGCTCTGGGGTTAATCAACAGCCCACAAAGCAAGATCATAATCTCGTACCACCACCATTCCAAACACACAGAAACGCAGCTCGGAATCGCCAAATTTAACAAAGATTTCCACCCCTTTAAGCACTCCGTCGACAATGCCTCCCATGTCTTCTTGTAAGCACCGGAAATGAGTATATAAACAATCAAAGAAGCAACAAGATTGAAGTTTGTCCAAACCCCACTAAGCGCAACCCCTTTCGTCCCCAAACCCATCCTCGTCACAAGAAAATAGTTGATTGGAACGTGAAGAATAATGGATAAAGCGGCACAGAAGGTTAAGGGTAAAGTAATGGACTGTGTTCTTAGGTAAATACGCAGGGGATGGAGTAAAGACTGCGCGAAAAGGTCAGGGATTGAATATAAAAGATAGGATTGGGCCTCTGTAGCAATTGCTTCATCTTGGCCGCAAAAAAGAAGAATGGTTTTCATGTTAACCCAAAGAATAGCTATCGGAACGGAAATCAGCATTAGTAAAAGAATGGTTCTCTGTAAGGTTAGGCCGAGAAGATTAAATTTCTTGGCGCCGAAAGCCTGGCCGCAAATCGGCTCCATTCCCATGGCTAAGCCGGAGAGGATGGAATATCCGGTGATGTTGGCGAAGCCGACGGCGAGAGAACCGCCGGCCAAAGCTAGCCCCCCAAGACGGCCGAGGAAGAGCATTGAAATCATGGAACGGGAGTAGAGGAGAAGGCCGGTGAGAATCATGGGCAGAGCAATCTTGGCTATGGACTCTGCTTCTTTGACGACAGGGGAGAGGCGGACGACGGCGGTTTTCTGCGGCGGCGGAGATTTCAACGTGATCAGAGGGAAAGCAAGCTTCTCTGCAGGCGTGATTTTGATTGATGACTGGAATTCATCGTCATATCCCACCTCTGTTTTTGCTGTCTTGTAGCCCAGAGCTGAGTTTGTTGTAGGGTTACACATTCTTATCGAGTCTGAAACTTGTATTTTTTTTTCCCTGGTCAAGCTAAGAACAACAGTACAACCTGGGAACAATGAAATCCTATGATCCAAGAAAATCTAGACAGAGAAAGAGACTAAGCTAGAGAGAGAAGAGATTTTGTGGGAGAGGGTGTTCAAAGATGAAGAGGCAAACGTGTGCATTTATAGTGCGAGGAGGACGGCGACCCTATTGAAATTTTGTCCCATGTCTGGCCGACTATAAACCGGCTGAACCTAGCTTTAATGCCTATAATTGAAATATGTGTTTCATCTCAACTAAAAACCTAAGCTAATACATGGATTTACACATTTATGTTTATATATATATTATATGCTCAACACCCGTTACCAATCTATTCTAATCTCGAGCATTTTCAATCAAGTTAATCAGACTGAATTGGTAATCACAATTTTATAAGTTCAATTTTTAACAGGTACCCTTTGTTGGCCTTTTTGATATTTTTAATTTGAGCCAGTTATGCATGCGATTTATTTAGTACACACCTTAAAATAGTAACTGTCACCTACGCATTTTCTTTGTCACTCCAAAAAAAAAAAAAGAAAAAAAAACTATTCTATTATTAACAACTAAGATCTGCAGATGAATCCTAGTAGTTTTGTAGCTTTGTTTTTTGTCGTTCAAATGACACATGGTCAAATGTAATTACTACCCAATAATTATTTAATAATAATCCTCCAATCTTTTATATTTTCCAGCCGGTTTTTCACTTCTCCATCATAACTACTGCAATTTTTTGTTTTTAATACAACTAATAACATTGAAATACTTCACTCCAAAATTGTTAATGTTGTTAAATAGATACAAGGCGGGGTCGAAATTGTTTTGTTGCACGTGCAGTTTGGTTATGGAAAAGGGTGTTGTGAGTGTAGTGTATGGACCAGTGTGAGTCTGAGTCAGTCGACATGTAAGAAGATTTTGGATTTTTTTTTTTTATTTTTTAAACAAAGATTTTGGAATATTGATAGCGGCAAAGAGAAACGAATCAAGTAATTTGGAAGGTTGTAAAATGGGTGACAAAAAAGGCCCGGTTAAAATGGCCCAAGATTGCAGAGTAGAAGAGTTAAATTTGGCAGCTCAGTTTTAGCCCACTTTTGTTTGTTCCGGCACGGCTCCCACCTGAAACCGTCAACGCACTCATTCATTCGTGTGTCTTCTTTTACTTTACTTTTTTTTTCCTTGTCAGTTTTTTATTTGTGGTTTCTAAAGTTACGATTTTTTTTACTAATCAGATGATTGTTTTTGACTAATTAAACGTATTTATGGAGTTCACACTAACCAACGGTCGACACAAATAGTCGTTGTTCCAATATTGGTCATTTATTCCGTACACATTTAAGGATGGATATCCTTCCCTTTCTCAAACTCCCAAATATAATTCCTTAAACTTTACTCTCTGATTTGACGGGCACTGCAAATGTAAGTTCCAATACAAATGTCAATATTAAGATTTTGTGTGTAGAAATAAAAATTAAGAGTAGAAAATGAGAATACATATAGTGCTTTCGTTATCGAATGGACACACTTTTTCACTAACCTTCTTGATTTGAACCGATCAGCTATGAGTAATCTAGATTGGTTTATCCCCTTATGGTTTTTTGATAGCTAGGGTTATAAGGCGGAGTTTATCCAGTAGATACACATACCCTAGGGTAGGAGTGATCGAGTTAGTGTAACATGATTCACATATCAGAAGGTTACAACTTTGAATTTTGTCAATACAATATTAGTTTATCTCTATTATACAAGAGTAGGATTTAGCTATGATAGTGACTGCATGTTCTCTTATCACCCAAAAAAGAAAAAAAAAAATAAAACTCATTTTCACAACCAATAGGTCTTGTGTGCGACTAATTCATATAAAATGTGTAATATTTGTAAATTAAAATGTAATATTATTCTATGGATCTATAAAAAATAATAATACATTTTAGATAATAACTATATCTTACTTGAGATATTCTTATGTAAAACTTATTATTTACCAACGAGGCGTTGACATCGTGCAACTATGATCAAGAATTGTATTGTTTAAGTGCAAAATTTTACCCTCAAATTGGTATTTTCTCTATTGTGTTCAAATATTAGTTTAGTTTCAGACCAGACATGCTACACTTTATATTATGGCATGTTACTTTTTATAGTAATATGTGACGATGAGTCTGCAATGTGTACTGTGCATACCAAAAAAACATAATTAATTTTTTAAAAAAATAGAAACCAATTCTTATTTTTTTTTGAGTACTGCTGTTTATAATTAATTTCTCAACCTAGTGAAGCACAACAAGTCAATATCACCTCGACTGAAGCTTGAACCCACAACCTTCCATATGAGAGAGCAATTTGGTGCCACTAGACAACAAGTTTGTTAATATAGTTTAGTAAATCCACATACAGTTATGTAGATGTGTTTTGTTTTGTCTTACTTCTATTTTCTATTGTTGTTAAAAAAAGGGCTTGCTTCAAAGTGATAATGCAATTCATTGTTACAAATGATCAAGTATAAGAGCAATTAGTAAATTCATACATACAATTAAAAACTCCCACTTTAGACATGTTGTGGATTAAGAACGACACGAGAGTCCTTTTGCTACGAAAATCCCTCTTAATCTTATTACCAACGTAATTTTATTAATTATACTGTACTACTTGTAATTATGAACTCCTTCCATGCATGTTTACGGATACTAGCTCCGTAATTTTGAATTTCACCCACATCTTAAACTCTCGTCAATGAATCAATAGCATGTAAAGAACTAAATAATATAATGAATGTTACCCTTAATGTGATTGACTATGTTGACAGGTATGAACACGTACCACCTAAAGTTTTTCCAATTTATGTTAATTATACTCCATACTTGCACCTAAAAATATGACGAAAAATTGCAACAAATATTAACAATTATTACTTTTAACACATTTAAATTTATATAAATCTTCGCTTTTTCATACAATTCAATTCGGTGCTTCAAGAAAGGTATCTTTTCCTTTCTCCCATTTCAATACTTATATTTCTATTAAACAATAAACGAAAAAGTTTATATTTCTTGAAAGTGATATTAAATCAAGTTGAAAGCCTTGTTCCGACCACTTTTGGTATCCGGAAAAAATCTTTGTTGCTATTTCCAACCGCTTTTTGCTTTCAACTTGATTTAAGATCACTTTCAGGTGGTCGGAAATTTCATAATTTCCGCCAATGCTTTTTGACTGTCATGTTTTTCACAACGAGAAAACATAATTGTAATCGCAAGTCAATCACTGTGTAAACGAAGGTCTTATTTTGGAATGTTAAGTCAACGACAGATCCCATTTGAAGTCATGCTTCCACACGTACAATTATATCGGTCAAACATTAAAAGCATGTATTAAATAGAGATCTCTCAATGTTAAAGAGATGTGATTCCAAAATTTGGGAACAAAGTTATACCGGTCAAACACTATACAGTGCCCATACTGTTGCAAACATTTCATTTGGGCAGGAATTAACATCTTTGAAAATAATAATTAGGGAGATTATTATTTTTAAAAAATTTGAACAAAAGTATGTTAATCGTTATAAGCAGTACGTGGAAATATTTTTAATTACGTGTCTAAAGAAAAGAATACAAATAAATTAAGTGAAAGATTAGATATGCATGCATGAGCCAATTCAAACTTTATGTGTGATTGATGATAACTATTACGTTTGATTAAGATCTTTTATTACTTTTATATTCATCTTACGACAAGTTAAACAAATAAAGTCGATTATTATGTATCTTTGTAGGCAAAATCTTATGTGAAACCGCTTATATGTGAGACACTTTATTTTTTATAAGTATTACATTTTCATATTGACCTGATCGACTCGACCGGTCACACAGGTAAGAATTTATGAAACGGTCTCACACAAGTGTGACACATCTTTATATATATAAATACCACATCAACAATAAAGCTAAAAGAAATGAAAAAGATATGAATCTATGGGCAATTGCGGTATGGTTGAGTAACCTAAATTTATTCGAATATGATCAAGATAAAGTGGAATCCTTAGTCATATATTAATATATAGCTGATCTTGAAAGGAGCATGCATGCATAGGATAAGTGAGACAAAAGATGAAGAAAAAGCAAATTAAAGGCGTATAAATTTCTTTTTAGGAAGAAATTTAAAGTTATGTTCACAGGACTTTACATTGGCGAAATAATTTGAGTTCCCACATGTGTGACTTTAAAAGGGTTTCTCACTTACTAATTGATGTAATGTATAACTATTATAACTAATTTTTATTGATTTTTTGACAGATAAATATATCTGGTAAGCCAAAGAGGCAAAGACTATGCAGTCGAGCGATATGACTGTGGCTTAGCTCTCTCAATATAAGAGGTCTAGGTGGCATTGACTTTTTGTATTTCGTTAGGCTAAAAAAGTATGTACTTAAATCATTAGTACTAAATAAAAAAAAAATAAAATAAAAAAAAACAGGTCTGGTAATCTGGTATGTATCCTCATGATTAATGCGATATTTCATCACAACTAATTTGATTAGTGCGTGCTTTGGTTGGTAAGTATGCATGGCATATAAAATCACTACTTTTTGTTTTAACAAATAATCACTCTTTTTTTAAAAAAAAATCGTTTTTAACGTACATATTAAAATATACAGAGTATATTATAAATAAAATGGAGATATCTTCTTTTTTTTTTTTTTTTTTTTTTTTTTTTGCACTATATTTTATCAGTCAATGAGGCCGGGAAGCCCTTACCAAATATTAATTGTAAAATTAAAGGTGAATATATAATTAAATTATTATATAAAATATAATGCTAGTCGATCTATAAATTCTAGAAGCCTAAAAGCAGAAAATCCACTGAAATTAATTAGGAAATTTTATATTCTATTGATATATACATGTGACGGTCGTGAAACAATGAGTTTTAATTTATTAATAGGAATAGTCTTCCACTACAATATGAGGTTATTATTACTATTATGATATGCAAAAGTACCAACCCACTCACACTAATTACGCGGTTAATCCGTTAATGATATTGATTATCGTCGCAAAATTCAGACAACGAAAATGCTACCACAATACCCAACAATCCGACACTTACCGTTGTTAGGTAATCACAAATATTATATATAT